GTCCAGCCAGTGCTACACGTTGCCGTGGAGTGTTAACATTCAAGGCGAGCATGAAAATGACTCTGCAATCTTCCATACATTTCTGGAGTTTGCAGCAAGCATCATATCATCCTCTGGAGCAGACTTTCCTTGAGAAATATTCTCCATATCAAGAGGCTCTGATGCCTTCCATTTAATACATGTAAAAATCCTTTCATTTTTGTTTTGAATTTGTGAATTAAGCACAATGCCACCAGTTACTAATCCACTTGTATCCAAGTTCACTTAATGTGGTTGGCAAATAATACGTTTAATCAGTCTTAGAAATCCAAAGTGGTTAGCTGAGAATAATTTACATGTAATCCCTAGATCTGACGGTCATCTCAACTTTATGGACGCCTAATACAAACCAGGGTCCAATTTCATGGTGCCGCTTAACAGTTAGCCGAAAAGTCCTGCTTACTATAGCATAGCATTTTGCTAACCACAAGCACTATTTCATGCTGGTACTTGGTGTGGTTGTGCTAACAGTTACCAGTGTAAAAGGATTTCCATTGTTATGTCGCTTAGTGGCTTTTGCTGTATTTACTGCTTAAGGTCTCCACAAAGTACAAGGAGCCTCTGTTAGGGGCCAATTTCATAGAACTGCTTAAGCACAAAATTTGCTTAAGTGTGAAAAAATCCTTGCTTGACAAATCAGGTTAACGGCCAAAACTCCATGTGATGTATATTGTTTGGGAATGATATTCACCTGTCTTTTGGTTAGCATGACAATCACCTAGATTTTGAGCTGGTAAAGTTTGTTTTTAAGCAAGTTTTTTGGGCTTAAGCAAATTTTGTGCTGAAGCAGTTCTATGAAATTGGCCCCAGGTCTATGGATGACTGTGATGAAGGTGCTATAGGATGAAGAATTGTTTCAGGAAACATTTGCTACATAAAAATAAAGCCTTTGGGAAAGATGCTAAGTGCATCATGACACTTGTTCCCATTGTGTCAATGAGCCAAATTGGTGTCGCAAAGAGGCAAGGTCGTTCTGGACTCAAAACACGCCTACAAGTTAATGTATGGCCATGGAGAATGGAAAGACCTCTAGCACATGTGGCTGTCCCTGAATGACCTCAGATGAACTTCCTCTTGGCCTTACGCTGTTGGAATCCTAGACTGGCTCATTCCGTGATTGCAGACTTTCCTGCAGCTGCATGGTGTTTCCATCAAATGCCATTTCCGGGAAGACAAGAGCAGGTAGGAAGCCATTTTCCAATATGGCTATCCCCTCTGCGATGGTCCAATTTATAGTGCCCTGTTTGTTGTTCAAAATGATGAACTTTCTCCATTCACCAAGCCTGGACTATGGCCCGAGCTCATATCATAGTTCTGGCAGCATCTTGGGTGCTAGAGGAAATGTCAGAATGTATTACATCTGCCTGTGCCATTGTGACTCTGACACGGTTTGTGGGGAGGAGAGTGCTGCCACTACCATTTTCTCATCGCTGAGGATCACGTTCAAGCTTGCCATCTCTGGAATCAAATCGTGTCCAAGTATTGTTCTGCATGATTTGATTGTACCAAATGTTGCACATCACATCCATCCTGTGTATGATAAAATCTCTCCAAGATCTCTGCTCTGTTACTACACAGGCAAGTATCTGTGTCGTCTCTCATGGTTTCAAATGCCTCAACATCAATTCTGTTGCTGCGAAGAGCCGGCAGGATGTTTATTCCTTTGGGGTCAGGGCTACTTGTGAACTTCACATGGGATAGGCATAGGTCTGAGAGTCAGGTGCAAAGTGAGGTCAACGAGGTCACTGTGGTGCTGATGATCCTTCCAGGCTGAATGATGCAAGTCAATCTTCTCTGATCACTCCAATCTAATGAGGTTGTAAAAGTAACCCATTCAGATTGTTGTCAAGCAGTCACAGAAGATGTAAAAAATGTCCATGTGAAGACTCCCCTGGCAGTCTGGAGTATGAAAAGAGAAACTATGGTAACAAATATAATTAAATATAATATAAAATAAGAATAAATAAGAAATACTGATTCTTATTGCTGAAGAGTCTGTCACATTGGTGGTGTTTTACAGGTGATAAGGGTTTTAAACACTTTCTTGGTCTCATAGGAAATTTTCACTCCTATTTCTATGAACTCCAAGCCTAATATATATCAATCATCAACATCACGTCTGCAAATGCAATGCAACCAATAATTCTGTATTTCATGGAGTCAACATTTCATTCTCCACAGGCTACGCTGTGTTCTGGCTTGGTTCATTACGTCCTAAGCTGCTTTTAAATATAATCTTTTAAAACTGCCCCATCACACTCTTATTCCAGTATAGATATTCATTTTTAGGTTCTGCTTGGGGAAAAAACTTCAGATAATTAAAACAAGGAAGCAAGGTGAATGAGAACATGGTGTGAATTATAAGGAGGGATCAAAAGAATAAAGGTAAGTCACCAGCCAAAAAGAGAATATAAATTTGTCACAGTTGAAAAGCTCCTTTTTCTACTTGAAGTAGTACTATTTTACAGTCTTGTGACGGATGCAAAACTTTGCAGTAATTAAACTGCAACTGGGCAATGGAGCAGAAAATATAAAATTGTAATTTGAAGTGAAGATGGAGGGTGTAGCCAACTTGAAGAGGATGGGAAGAGACATAAAAGCAGAGATTAAAAGAAAACAGACAAGGCAAAACTAATGCTGGGAAATGTCACTTTCTAAAATCGCCTTTTAAAAGACATGACAAAGCTTTTCTAGAACATCTGGTGCAGATTATCCTTGGGCTGAGAATGCGTTTTGGCAAGCCACCTGGGCCTCATTTCATGGTGTTACTTACTGCAGAATTCCGCACTTACGATCTCCATTCTCCCTAACCGCGCTAGCAGAAACATTCTGCGCTAACCCTTTCGCACAGAATCCTTAGATGCGTTATGTACACATGCGCGCACAAGCCAAAATTCTTCGCTAACCTGTGAAATATGTTCGCCGCAAGCACAGAATTTTCTAATACGGTAAGCGCAGATTTTTTCGAACGCGGTAAGCAGCACCGTGAAATTGGGCCCTGCGTACAGACAGTGGTGCCACTACAGTATTGACTTCCCAATTCCACTTGAAGCATTGGTCTACATGTACTTACTGTTGCCGACGAGGTCACTGTGGTGCAGATTATCCTTGGGGTGAGCATGTCTTTCGGCAAGCCACCTGCATACAGGCAGTGGTGCCACTACAGTATTGACTTCCTAATTCTAGTTGTCGCATTGGTCTACGTGTACTCACTATGAGGTCACCGTGGTACTGATGATCCTTCAAGGCTGAATGATGCAAGTCAGTCTTCTCTGTGACCACTCCAATTTGATAAGGCTGTAAAAGTAACCCATTCGGATTGTTACTTGAATTGTTTACAATGGCAGGGTGTATGAATCTTCTGCTCCTTAACCGCTCAATATTACTGGATTAATTACAAGGCCGTAATCATGCTTGAAAAGCAATGATTTGAAATCATGTTGAAATCAAGTATGTGTTTCAAAATGATGTGTTTATAATTGAAAAAGTGAAAGTATAAGCATGACTTTTGCTGTACTGAATGTGTACACACACTGTACAGCATGACTGCTGTACAGTGTGTGGCTAACCTTTGGAGTAAACCTGTTACAGCATGCCTCCTTCCTTAACAGAAAAGTCTTGGCACGGTGGATGACAAATTTCCAACATTTTGGGTTAATGGCAAGATGCATTGGTTTGCTAAATCAAGGGGCCAATTTCACAGAGCTGCTTATGCACAAAATTTGCTTAACAAATCAGTTAACCAGCCAAAATTCCATGTGATGTATATTGTGTTTGGATCACATTTAGCTGTCTTTTGATTAGCATGACAATCAGATAGAGTTTGAGCTGGTAACCTTTGTTTTTTAAGCAAGGCTTTTTTGCGCTTAAGCAAATTTTGTGCTTAAGCAGCTCTATGAAATTGGCCCAAAGTCACCAGTCTAAATATGTTGAAGTGAAGCATTCTGGTTCTGTTCAATTGAAACATCTGAGAAAAGTGAGACATGCTCACCTGTAAGGTAGTGGCTTTCTGTTTCATTTCCAACAATATTTCCACTCAATGTGTACATATTGTAGGACTATAGTCCTTGTAGTTTGAGTGAAATGTCCTTGAAGATGTTGATGGCAACAGACAGGGTCATAGTTTCTTCTGTCACAGCACACAAGTCTCGATTGTCACTGGGTCGTAGATGTCTCTTTGGAAGTCGATGTGAAGGGCAAATGTCGGGTCAGAGTCACTCAGGACTTTTCCCTGGAGAGCCAGCTTGAGTTGCGCAAGAGTTTCTCCACCGGCATTGAAGACGGCAATGGGGGAGTCTATGTGACGAGAAGCGATGTAGAGCTGGGTCTGGCTTTGATGGAGGACACAAAGGAACCTTCGGAGATGACACTGCAGGGAGGTTTGGAGAACTGCACCTGCTGGTTAAGTGCAATCATTGCACCACTTTTGCGACAGCTCTTAGTGATGTTGAGGGTGTCTGTCAGTTTGGTTCATCTGAAAGATAACGGACAGCAGTGCTAACAGCCAGGTAGTACATTTAGGATGGCTGGAAATCATGGGAGAAACACAAATGAGATGAGCCAAAACTGCACACCTGGAGAAGTTTTCATGGTCAAGTAAAATGTGACCCATAATTCATCAATGAGGTATAGTTAATGTGATTTTTGAAAATATTGTAAAAAGAAAATAGGTTTTGATGAAATTGGTCATTTTTCACATAACATTGCAAAAACTGAAGTCTCTGTACTGTTCTTAAAATAATGGAGAATAAACCTGTTTTCTAGTTGTGTAACTGAAAAAGCTAAGCAACTTTTTATTAGATCGGCCACGAGTCCATTGTGGAGCTATATTACAAATTTGTGGTGTAAGGCTCACACATAGTTTTTTGAAGTCAGCTGCAGGACATTATCAGTTTGGAATGAATTTAAACTTCCTGACTCACCTCAACTACAGAATTACGGTGGCATTGTAATGCATGCTGATTCTCTTCATAGTGTTTGCGTCGTCCATGTATATCCATGTATATCCCAGTGGTCACTCTCTGCCAGGGCTACAGGTGCCACAGCGCCACTGTTCTTGGTCCAGCCTGCAGACATACTGTGTCCATTGTCCATGACGGCCTGGATGGTGGAAGCACACACTTTGGTCCATACCACGGCCGAAGATAGCTGTGAAGCACAGAAAACAATGTTGTGATCTACGTGTAAGAGTCCATCTCTTGACAAATGAACTTTATGTTCAATTATCCTAGTCCTGGCCGCTGTTTGTTTTTATGCTCATGCAAAAGTTTTGAAATATCTAAAAAGGTGTTTTTCTCAATACTCTTGACCCAAAAGGAAGTCAAATAGTTTATAAACACTGAAGAAGCAAATGAAGATGCCCAACAAGCATATCAAAGAAAATTTGTTACATAAGCCTTTTAGATTTGGAAATTCACACAGCGGATGCATAAAGGATTTCCACTGACAAGTAGAACAGTGAATATAGCACACCATGTGGCCGATCCTTTGCAGTCTACTTGCAATGTGCAAGTACGTGTAATTGAAAAACCACAAAAGAACCCTTGCTTATTCAAAGTGATGAATGTTAATTCCAACTGTTGGAATTATTTCATGATGTGACAAATTGAAAGTTCTTCTTCACTCGCTTTTCCCTTTTGAAACATTCATTGAATAGAACAAGGCTTTACCCCATGGACTGGAACGTTAACTTTGTCACCTCATGAAATTGTTCTTCACTCTGCTGTACAAATGCAAAACATTCATCACTTGTTTTACACAATGCCTGAATAAATCTTCTATAAACTCTTTATCCCAATAGTTGATTTGCTTTTTCAGCTTGCAGAAAATTGCAGCAAGAAGTTTTCAAAATTTGATCTGATTCATGCTTGAACAGAAGTGCCCATATGTCTAACAAGTTGCTCTGACTGACAACTGTTTGACAATTTAATTTATTTCTATTTGATCAACTCAAGAGCCACGACCTTGTGTACTGTGGGCATGCAATATTCAGTGGGGTATATTTAATGGTCAGCCATTAATTATACATAATCCTACGTACCAATCAGATGACAGGGATTTATATTGGTGTTTCATTCAATCTGAGCAGGAACAAGATGGAGATACTGTGTTTGTTTGTTTGTTTGTGTGTACCAGGACCTGTCAACAAGACCAGTTAGAAAACTTTTCAACAGCCCGTCAGGGTGAACTTGAACCTAGGTGAATGACACTCAAAAGCCATCAGTCATTAAGCTTTAAGAAATCTGACGACAACAATCAAATATGCTTATACACTGATGAAATATAAACAAGCCAAAAAATGTCAACTCTTGTTTTGAAACATGACAGGTCTTACAGACACAAATATGACATGCCTTATCCGGATTGTAGATATGCTAGACAGCTAGCCACTAGCTACCTAACTGAATCCAGCTGGACATGTCAAATTACAATTCACAACTTTTTCCAAATGCCATCTATCAGTCTTAATACTCAGAAAAACATGGCAACTAGGAAAAAGATTACAGCCTATTTCCAGAAATAACCAAGAAGTGTTCCTGGAAATGTTGAGTAAGAACGACAGAAGGGATCATGCATCACAGAAAAATAGGAGAGTGGAATGGATAGCTATCACTAACAGTCCCAAATCCTCCAATTTTAAGATGATTTTACCTACACCCCAGGAGGTTTAGGGTTAATAAAATAGTATGGTTTAAGTCTTGTCCATGTACAAGCAAATCGAACCATCATTACTCATTTTATGGCAAATTCCAAACTGAAACCCCTATAGTTTTTCAGGCTGCAAACAACTAAAAGGAAATGTCTAATTCATTGTTTTGTGTCCCTTAAAGCCATTACGTAATGATAGGAAATAAATCAGGATTGAAAAATGCTGAGAAATCCGGCAAAGAATTCAAGTATGAAATTGTCCTCATGCCTTCCCCCCATAGCCAAAGGTCTTTCATGCACCATCTGTTTGTACATGTTTATGGGAAGCTGCTGGAGGATTTCCTGGGCAATTTGCTCCTTTCCTTGTCAGACCTGAAGACATAGCAGTGCAGTGATATGCGGTAAGCTACACAGAGGCCGTGCATGCAATGCTCTTCTTGAGAATGGTGCTGACAGCGAGCAAGTCAAATTAAGCAAAAAGGACGAGTTTAGGGTAGAGTCTAATTAAATCACGAGATATCATGAAAAAGAACAAAGGAAGAAAAGGAAACAAGTACTTGAACCAGTAACTTCAGTCCTAAGAGAAAAGGTATTTCATCCCCTTACCTTGGATCCACATCGTGTAACACTGCCCCAGTCTGAACACTTTCATTCTCCACCAGGAACCTGTAGCAACTGTAAGGTCTCGGATGAGGAATGACAAGGGACATCACATCCTGGCCCAGGACAGTCTCGGGAGGTTTCCAGGGTCTTGGGAGGTTTTACAGAGGATACTGGAGGCTGAGTAGTTGTCATGGCAACAATCAGGACCAAGGCAATCCCTTAAGGTATCTGAGAAAAATCCAAGGAAAACCAACATCTGGACCCATGCACTTCTTAAAAAGGAAACAAATATATATCAAATAATGCAATGCGATGCAAAACAGGTTAAAAGTTGCAAACAGAAAAAATTCATTATTTCTACAAAGAAATTTGGAATGATTGGTACAGCAAAAATGGCAAACCATCCCAAAGAGCAGATCCAAAACAATTTTTTTTCTTTGAGGGGGAAGGAGGCTAATTAATTGGTGAATTTCTATGATTATGTAAGTTCATATGGCCTTTCATCTGAGGGGTGAGGCTAAAGTTGGGTTTTAACATGCATTTGGAAGACAAGGAAATGAAATCAGTTAAAAAAGATTTTCTCTCATTATCTTTCAAAAACTAACAAAAAACATTACCATTTTTGGAGTGGGGGTGTAGTTCCCCTTTGCCCCCGTGGGTCAGCCCTTGCATACCATGGTCACTTTCTAGTCCATCAGTGTATACTGTTTCCGTGGTGATTTCACAGGCTTTGCCACGGTGCAGACCGACGCAGACACACTGCCACTCTGATCGATCATCTCCACAAATTGACAGTCACCAACGACAACACAGCTGTCAGACCAACTCTTTGAAGGAAGAAATGGAAGACATTCTACTTGAGCTCAAAACAAATGATCTACAGCAGCTCAAATCCCTAATGTTCTCAATTTCTTGATTGCCGATGTAAATGCATCAAGTTTTCTGTGCTCAAAGTCACTGACGCAGCACCCTCCTGGGCAGGAGGGCAGCTGGCCTGATATCAAGCAAGGTTTACCTGTCCAGACCCTACTCACACCTTCACATTCCCACATCACACAGGCCTTGGATGCCAGTCACTGGTATAATCGCGAAGATCACTGGGGATGCAGGGGTACATGAAAGCCTTTCTTAAAATACATAACGGCAAAAAGGTATGCTCTGTCATCTGATTCAACCATAAAGCTATTTATGAATACATGCGTTCAATAGCTGAGGCGGTTTAGCCTTTCCACACGTATTTATCAAGAACCCATCACAAGGCCAGTCTTAAATGGCTCATTAAGAACCGACTTGCAGGTGACACATACATGTGTACCATAACATGGCCAAGGGAGGGGTTGGGAAAAAAAATGAAGTAAAACAGTTGAATAAGAATGGTTGGAAATTTAAGATTTAACTTCTTTTGACATTCTGGCCCAGACAATATTTACGAAGGGGAATGAACATTGTGCTTGGCCAGTCTTGGACACGGATAATGCCCCTCGTCCTTGACTTGTGCAGTATCAGCATCCATTCTCACATTCTAGTCTTGGCCAAATACTCCCTCATGGCAAGTACATATATTCTTTCTGAATTTAACAGAGTGTTTCCCCTTTATTCCCCACTACAGCTGCAGGTACAAAAGCTGTACAGAATTTCAAGTTTTCGATGGGTTTGTGTAGAAACATGGATGCGCCCGGGTTGTCCTCCGGTAATTTAATATAGCTCTGTGGATTCACCATTCTCCCTCAAGGGATCTGAATGCCTGAATCAAACTACAGCACGTCGCCAACAAGCGTCTGTCTAAACTTTTTTGAAATAGCAACAAACAAAAGAAATGGTAAAATTGTGATTTTTGAGAGGACGCTCTAAGTCAGAAGTGTTCATTTAGTTGGTAGTGATGTGACCATAATGCACTCATTTCTTGGTTGTTTGTGAACCAATGAACTTCAGTTCTGACCTAAGGAGCCTCCTTCGCTAAGAAAACAGTGCCCTCTCTTGGTCCAGCTCGAGGTCCACACTTCTTTCAGTTTTATCAAACGTTTACTCTCACTACACAATGGTAAATTGAAATAAATTCCCATTTTGTAACTGTGGCCAAGTTCCACACCTTATTCCATTTAAGAGCTTTGTTATTTGTTGTGAGAAAGAGGCAGTTGAGCTAAGCTATTGGTCACCAATACAAGATTTCAGCTTCAAGTGTCAAGAGTGTATCTTCATGGCCCTGAAACAAGTTACGGTTGTCATGGAGACAGGCAAAAAGACAGCATAATGTTTCTGCTCAGCTGTTTACACTTGGTCACTCTGTCCAAATAGCTATTGTGATGAAACCTGACCATTGTGCAGTCAGATGGGCCCAAATCGTGAAGTGCTAAAAATAATCTTTAGAAGGGTAACTTGTCTTGACTTGACTTGACTAGTCATTCAATCAATTCCACCAAATTTAGCACACAACCAACAACTCCTGACTACCTTAGAAATGCAGCTGAACTCGTCTTAACTTAAGAATGGTCTAAGGGTCATCTTATCTCAGTAATGAGTGTGTTGATTTGTATTTCATCTGGAAATTATTGCCGTTAAAAGTGAGTGTTGTCCTAGAGCTACATAATGTATAGGTGTTTTAAACAGACTTAAAAATGTCTTGCCTGTATTACACTCAATCTTGTCCTCAAAAGCCTCATTTTTCCTCTGTTTGATTACTGTGATCTGGTTTGGAGTCACGCCTCAAAATTTCTGATTACAGGCCTGATGTAGTTATGAATAGAGCAAGATGCACTGTTCTGAAGGTTCCATCTCGAACATCTCCATCAGTAATGCAAGGCGAATTGGGACGGAATTCTCTTCAGGCAAGAAGAGATATCCAAAATACTATGGTTTTTTTAAATGTTTAATTTGTAAGGTACTAAAATATCTCAGTGATGTTTTTATTCGAGTCAGTGGCTCACATCGTCACCAAACAAGAAATAGCACCGTTGGTAACATAGTTCTCCCGCATCCTAGAACAGAAAGTGGAAGAACTTTTAATTTTCGCAGAACAATTTACCAACATATGAAATCTTCTCATTTAAGTCTGAATAGTTTTTCTGAATCAACTCAAACTGATGAATTTTGCCTAATGTATGTGCTTAATGTGTGTGATTTTTTAACAGTTTTGTTGATTCTTAATAGCTTTTTTTAGTGTTTTTAATCTAACTTATTGTTTTAATGTGGTTTTTGATTAATTACAATTGTAATAACAGATATGTGAGCTGGGATCTATGAAAGATCAGTGAATTTTGGTCACTGAATGGATTACCCAAGGTAAATAATGAATAAATAAATAAAATGTATACATACAAGAACATGTAACAGTTTTGAGGAACCAAAAGGCTGTATATAGAAACAGATGTCTGATATCTTTTGGGTAGTTTCAATAAAGATAGCTCATTTACAAAATTTAAATGTAAATCAACAGCTCATCTTTGTAAAGCATGAATGACTCAATCACACCTTGCGTAGAACTACCCACGCAAACGTTCACATTCTATACATGCACTGGGGCAAAGGAAATTGGCTTTGCATGTTTTTTTTCAATGACTGTTCGTCAAATTGTAAAAAACAAACATGAAATGGAAACAAACATGAAACAATGACAGTCATTTTATGCATCTTCCTAGGATGGGTTTGGTGAAATTGATCTTGGAATGCATCTTAGCTAAGATCCATCTTAAAGTGGAGACTCATCGGCCGTTTTCCAATACTCAACTTCGGCTCCATCTCAGGCTTCAACTGTTTTTTTTACTAGCTGACTTTGAAGCTGTAAGCGCAGTAATTATTCTAAGAGTGCCACAAAACATCAAATAAGATGTAAGAAAGCCAAAAATTACCGTAATCCAATGTAATTTAAACGCTCCAGTCCCACAATCAGGGATTGGTTTGGGGAACGAAGCCTAAAACGGAGACGAAGTTGAGTAATGGAAAACGACCATGTTAAGTCCTGATGAATAGCAGGATAGTTGTTGTGGTACCAGCTCAAGGCATAGATGTTTGGGGCTTGTATTATTTGCACAAACAAATTCAAAATCTTCCCATGGCTTTTATTGTTATAAATATTTAGATGGGCATCTTCTGGGGGGCATACTGTTAACACTTACAATCAATTACTTTCTTTGTCTATCGAGGAAGAACATTTTCTCAAACAAAATCTTGCCATAAATCTTAACGTCACAGGCCTTTCTAATAACCCTTTCAGTGAGGCTTTAGACAAGTGAGGAATCCCCGAGGGCTCTGCCTCTCCATTTTAACCACAAGTATTTGATACCAGTTTATAAAAACCAATGGCAAACTCTTCGCAAACAAATGTTGCGGTTGGACAGCACAAGACATATTACATGCCCAGATTTTTTTTTTAAAAAGAGGATGGTTTGGAAGGTCGTTTGCAAGGTGATGCTTCTTATATAAGGTGATGGAAAGCACTGTTTATCAAGCTCAGACTACGGTGCTTATCAGCGGTAAGTGTTGGTTTGATCACCTGGAACCAATTCCCAAGCTCTGTACCATTGAACAAAATGTGAATAGATATTGTTGAATCAGTGGAATACATTTCCCTGTTTTGAAGTGCAGCGGGAAATAAATGTCAGAGGAATTCAAGCCACGCGTAGCTGTAGCGGGTTAGGTAATGAGGGCGTAGAAAGGTTTAACAAAGAAGAAGGGAAATGATCAGATCAATTCTTGAAAGCACTTTACACAAGGCACTCAGTTTTCAGTCATCATATCACAGAACAGCAACAGTTACAAGCCAGCACTGGCTTTATTTCAAGCAGGTAGCCACCAGTTAACAAGCTGCTCTATTGGATAAACTTGACAACCTGATACTGTCTAAACTTTCGGCTTTTGAGAGTACGATCAACACAAATCGCAAGAAACTCTCCAACAGCCAGCTCACAAATTACAAGGCAGTATCTAGCCAATGATGGATACATTTTCAAGGGTAAGGGTAACAAGCAAGCTGAGGGACGCAAAGTCACCTCTGGGGGTGGGGCAGACATTCAGCAAGCCTCGGCAGACTTTTCATCCAAAGGTATTGAGCTCATTAGTGACAGACAAAAACTAATAAGAATGATGCATGCATTGGAGCTAGGATAGAGAACAGTGAATGAGTATGACGCCAACGCACTTTCTCTTGATTCAGAAGACAAAAAGAGAATATACTATAAAGCCAAAGTGAGGGCTATGTGGAGAAGTAGCTCAAGACAGCAGGCCAAGATAAGACGAACTATCAGATTTTCTTCCTGGCTACCGATGCAGCAGGCGCCGGCGGTTTCATAGGCAGTGGAAGTTTGCACAGTCGGCAAGAGCAAGCAGGGTATTTATTTTTGTTATGGGCTACCTTGTCATAGGAAATATGAGTGTACAAGGAAGGCTGATGCAGCCAGGGCAGGTAAGTGATTCTGTACAGTTTTCAGATTAAGTGGTAAAAGACACTAACTGGTGTCAAAACAAGATAGGGTGAAAACACAGAGAGAAAACTCAATGCAAAGTTTCAGTCCGTTGATGGATCTCATTTCGATGAGAATTTGGCTCAAAACTCAGTTGGTAGATTATGAAAGGCAATAGGTTAGTGGAATAACATAAACATAAATCCTTTTATCAGAAGTACATTGAAGGAGGGATGCAAAATCCCGCTAAGAGCGTAGGCAGATGCTAAGATGCTAAGTATTCAGATTATAACAGGTCAGCAAAAGAAAATTTGTCATTGAAGAGATACAAAAACTACTTGGAAAAGGAAACACTTTGAAAATAAAGTCACAGCCTCACATTGTTAACTCCTCGATGTAAGCATTCAACAAGAAAGGTAAACCTAGAATGGTTCTAGATTATAGAAACATCAATCCTCACTTAGTTCAAATTCAAATATGGCGATGTGTCAGTTTCAAAGCAGATGTTTGAAACAGGTGATTTTTGCTCACCTTTGATCTTAACTATGCCTATCGTCACATTGAGATATATAAAGATCACAGGAATCACCTAGGTTTTCTTGGAACTACGGAGAAGAAAAAGGTATTCTATCAATTTAATGTACTCCCATTTAGATTGGCTACAGTGTCATACATGTACAAATTTACAAAATAAGCTAGTGGAGATCCCAAAGAGGTAAAGTGTTCATGTTTTAGGATGATGGATTGGGGGAGATTATGTCAGATCATGGAACAGGCTGATATGTTGAACAATGCTGTCAAATGGTTGATCAAACAATTTCCCTGGCGATTTCACTTGGAAAGTTGGTCAGATTGAAAACCAGAGCAATGTAAGACTGTATTGATAGTGGAGGGCGTTGGAATGCACCTGTATACTGCCAAATGAGGACGCACTTGAAGCATTGTTCTTGAAACACAATGTACAAGGGCTTAAGTAGGAAAAGAGAAGATTTCTGTGAGATACAAGGTTTTAGTGATGCATCCATAATTAGATATGGTGGATACATATGTCCTTCTGTGTGGGGAATCGGATCCAAAGACAAGTTATGTCGATTCCCTTTGTGAAAGAGCCTTTTGCTGAAGGCAGTGATCATCCATAATTGCATGTGGTAGTATGAAATCCCTTGGCATGGGAACCTTTGAAAGATGTCTCCCCTGATGCAGGGAAGAATAAAGTATGTGTGATTCCGTTTTGCAAGGATCAGTTATTTGAAGGTAGTGAAGTAATAGGTGCATGGGGATAAAGAGTCTCAGGAAAGCAGAACACAGAATGCTCAGAAGTAACGTCAATGAATTGCAGAATGAAAGAGTTTGTTGTTCCACTGACAACATGAATGTCAGAAAGTTTTGAGTAACAGAACCAAGAAGTCTAGGTTACAGAAAATGCCCATGTGAACAGCTTTTGTCAAGAGAATTGCATAATTCTAGAACCACGGTGGATTCAAGGAAAGAACAACACTGGAGCAGCTTCAGCGAGTAGAACTATGGATGGTGATGATTGGAAAATACAGACATGGATGAAAGGATTACTTGAGCAAGAATATGGGGATCATATGGTGTGGATAGATTTGGGTCAAACTTGAATAATCTGCGAAAACAGTTTAGGATGACGGTGCCCAGGAACGGGTGGTTGATGTGTTAGTCAGACACAGGCCAATGATGTTCATTGGCTGGTACTCCCTTCCCAGATTGATTCTCGGAATGTTGTTGAAGATACAAGCCAAACAGGCTAAATGTGCATTGACTATTCCAAAGTGGAAATAGGCATGCTTTGGCCATTTCTAGTGATGGTCTGCAAATGTTTAAAGTCCTTTGTAGAAAGGACTTCAGCACTCCCACAAGGGCATGTAATTGTCACAGGGCAAAGCAGCATTGGTGTTTTTTGCCAATGAAATTTAAGTTTTTGCTTTGAAGCTGGTTTTCTGAAGTGTTTCCAGTGATGGTGTAATTACTGGAGGGGAAAGTGAACATTACTGTCCAATTTCTTCAACAGAGACAGGGCCCAAACTGAAGTATCCACAGCTTTGAAGACAGTTGACAAGCTAGATGACAAGCTAGTCAAGCGAATGTGTCAATACCTGATGTCATCAAAGGGCGACACTGCAGTCAGGAAATACATCAGGAGTTTCAAGAAAATGGCAGAACTTTTGTGCCAGGGACGGACACACCCCTTAACCAGCTCAGCCAGTTCTTATCGCTGTTTGACTCAGGAGCTTCTCATCACGTCACTGCATCGGCAATATATAGCATAAAATGGGCTCATGAGATGAATGGCTTATAGTAGACCCAACAAGTCATTCATTTGTGAAATAACTTCCCAAATCAGCTGAACACTTAACAGGGCATATGATGCAGAAAAAAAGATGTTGTTACAGCAGATACGCCAATCTATATTTGTGAAATTTATATATTCGCTGGTTATTAGACCTTGACGAATTGAGATCCATACATTGTACTGAAATTAACATTTCTGACAATTATTCCACAGCTGTGATGACGAAATGTAAGACCATCATTGCTGAGGTGAAGAGAAGGTAATTTCAAAAAGGTTCTAATTCAGCAAGTCCTGACAGTAAACTGTTGAGATATTTGTCAGCCGCAGATATGGATATTACAGCAGAGGCGTATTTGTTCAGACCTGCGTTTTGATCAAATATTGTATGTAAGTTACTTCCAAAAGATAAAGTTAAGTTATGCAGGTACTGGAGAGCAGGTGGGCAAGATGCTAACATCAGTCGTGCCTACCCTAATCTAGGTTTGCATTCCTTCAGAGCAGGTGGAGTAAAGGCAGCAGCCAAAAAATGAGGTCGGAGAGTGCTGTCTAAAGAGATATTGTTGCTGGAAAAGAGAGTATATGAGAGTGCAGGTGGATGAAAAGATGAGGAAAGATGAAAGGAAGTAAGAAGTGACCAAGAAGCTTGAGCTTGGTCTGTAAAACGAGATTTAGGTTGATTTTAATTCTGTACCCATGCTGATATATTCTATAGCGTCTCCAATAGATGGGGTTTGTTGTGGATTTTGTATTTACAAGTGAAAATCATGATAAATCTATACGTTTCCAGTGTTTCGAAGTATAGTGAGAAATCACTGTCTTAGGAGTTCAAGTGAAGCATAGCTATTGCAGGTTAAATGTACATAAGAGCATAGAAAGTTTTCAACAGAGAAGACAAGAAATGCTAAGATCAGTGCTACTACACACTTCATATGAGACATGCCAATTTTAACTTTTTTTCAATATTTAAAAATTTAAACGTATGTATGTGCTTTAGGCATGTTAGGGTCTTGCCACCGAGAATTCTAACTGTTTAGGGGCACAGGTTTTCGGAACACTTTAAAAATTCATCTCTGTTTTGGTCTACAAGGTCACCTCAAAGTACTCCGTGAGCTTGCTGTACATGTACATGTATATCAATGTATACTTGTGCACATACGTTAGTCATTTTGAGCAAAAACTACAATATATCAGTGCGTATATAAATTGTCAAACCTGCCAATAAATCAACCTGTGCTTTGTCATCACTCAACCAATGCGAAGGATTTGCTTTGGAATGAGTATCAGTAGAACAAAAGATCACTCCAAAGGACCAGAACGGTTCAGAACCATTCAAGATGGCAGCAATGGCACACTGAACCTTTCAGGAGAATTCTTGTAGGAATATACAATTTGTTCCTCTAAATACTCTCCAGTACATATCTTTTTTTTATTAAGCACAGACATGAATGTAACAAGTACAAACATGAGACCAGTTACTAAAATACAATTTGGTGTCTTCGGTGCTTTGCTATCGTTTGCCGTGGATTTTGTATAAATGGAAGTAGTGATAAGACCTTACTTTCCTCAAAGGCCTGTCTATACGTAGTTTCTCCCTGACCACAACCATTCTACCAGCATGTACTGGCCCACTGCAGTCAGGCAGAAATTGAAGTGAGATTGACGTCCAAGCCAGAGATATATTAAACAGGGGAATAAGATGAAAACAGCACAACAAAATCAGACGTCCACAATACTTGACGGTAACCTGTACGATTCAAAGGATGCAATTCTGTTAACAGTAGCTGATTGAGTGACATATTGAACGGCTGAATTGCTTTCCCCAATACTACTGGCAGATCAGAAAAGCTGTAAAGCAAATAAAACTCATTTAACCTTTAGTTCATAAAGGAAACAGGTGAATGATGTGGGCTGTCAAGTTATTCATTGAGTTTATACTCAGACTCAACATAAAACAGTCCAGATGACGAGTAATTGAAAGTAGGAATTTTATGTTTGACTGTGCCCCAGAATGGCTGTGACAGAGTGGCCATACAATTACACCCGGCTGTACTTGCAACATCCCGACAAGCCCCAAACAGAATCTCAAATGGTTTCTGGCATAATTTGCATGCTTGTGACCTTTTGTACCTTTGCATAATTATCCTTCATTCGGCTAATATCTGGCCAGGCCCAAATAATCGCTCAGCATGCCACACAAAATATGACAGAGTTTGATGACTGAGATATACTAGCCTGTTGACCAGTTGTGCGCAAGATGGATACTGACTGCATGCCCGGATAAAGAAGGTTCAGGGAGTACAAGACCTTTTACCTTGTAGGAAGTAAAGCAAGAAAAAAATGAAATAAAGTAAACACAATCATAAAAATGTTGAAAATACCCTGGTAAAATTCTAAGAACAGACCCAAAATATGTCAAATGCAAGTGCCAGAATGAGGAAAAGAATTAATTTTCAGAGTTTCCTTATTTTGGGGCCATTTAGTTCATCTGTACTTTGAACAACAATCTAGGCAACTCTATTGTTGAGAACAAGATATCACACCTCAAACGGTACCTTGTGAGCAAAATCTTTACTGATGTGGGCTTGATGATCCCAAGCACATTTTCTGTGGTCTACAGTCACATGTAACTGCATTGCTGGCCATTGTCCCAGGTATCTGGACATTTGCAAGGATCCAAACCTGGAAAAAAATTAAGGATCTGCTCATTTATCAGGCCTAAGTCATGTTTTTAAAGGAGTGGTACACACAGCTTGTAATGTGTGCCACCCGTGCACAATGAACATGCATACCTTAGACCTAAATTTATCCTGACCTTTTAAAAAATAGAATTTTATTCCAAATTTGTCCTTAAGGTTAATACACAAGTATGAATGGATAAATTAGTAGAATGGATTAGTTAAGTAGAACAGGACTACTAGCTGTTTTCAAGAACTCTATCCGCCTCGAGTAGAAGCACCCCCTCATTGGTAGAAAAGAGCCATGTTGGTCGGGAGACTTCATTTTGTTGATAGCGACATGACCATAATGCTTGCATTTCATAGTCGTTTGTGAACCAGCGAAGTGCAGTTCCTACCTAATTTTTATTCCCCCAGACTCCCAGAAATATTTTCTGATATCTTTTTGAGAAAGTTGCAGGAGGGATGGTCAGCCTTTTTAAAAAAATAACTTAAAACGGTTTTGAAAAGTCTGATTGAATCAGAAAATTTAGCCCTGTTGAGTTGAGGGTACGGAGAAAGGTTTGGAATTGGGGTCTAAAAAGAAAAGTCAGAAGACATAAACGAAACATTCCAACTTCTTAAGATGGCGCCTAAGGCCATCATACACCCCAGTAAATACCAAACTGTCAGCCCAGGCCTGACCCAGAGTTGGGATGATCCGGCAAGGGTTGGCTCAGCTGTGCCAGCCCTGGACCATTGATGGCCCACTGCTGGCACTGGTTCATATACCAAAGATGCTGGTGCCAGCTTAGGGTCAAGGTTGGGCCAGTCCAGGCATAAGGCCTAGCAGACGGTAAGAAAGAGATGGAAGGGGGATGGAATCACCTCCTTACCCTTTACAAAATGGAGCTATATAACCATAAAATGTAGGAATCACCAACTGAAATTGTACCACGCTTATGTTGTCATTTCACAGAAAAAAAATTATTTTAGGTCTCAAATTGTCTTCCTTTCACTTAAAAGCACTCAATGGCAACTGAAATGGTGTTTTTTAGGGTGGACATAGAGTTTGCAAGGAATGTTAGAGGGCCTAACATTGAGAAATTCTGTTGCCTCATCATAGATATCGTCCGCACTCATAAGTAACCCAAAGTGAACTCAACAAATAGTGGCATTTTAGCCGAGCTGAAATGACATGAACCAGCTCTGGGTCAACCAGCTGCCAGCTCCGAGCCACCACTGACATACCACATCTGGCCCGGATGAGCAATAACTGATCTGGCCCAATCCCGGCAGTCGGCCCAAGACTGGCTAGAGTTGGACCAGCTGTGGCAAGCCAGGCTTAAGCCAACCTTTGCGCCATGATTCCAATGTTGGCTGGGACAGTTTCAGATATCCACAGTTTAAAAATTTGCTGTATTTAATCCTTGGTCTAGACTAAATGAGTTTATTTTGAGGAAAATATCCTCTAAAAATATGTGGCCATCTTGAACTTTGCCTCTTTTCCTTTGACTTTGCAAAAAACAATTTGTCAGGGATTGAATTTGGGGGAGGGAAGGGCGACTGATATTTTCAAAAAAAAATTTATAATGTCAGTTTATATGGCATTTTTTTGCTGACAAAAAATCTACAAAAGTGTACTAGATTCTTGTAAACTGTACAGCACTTGGAAAACTCTCAAAAGTTTTTAGGTAGGCAACTTTGAATCATAAAATTGACCAAATATATCCTTCAAACGTCAAACTTCGCCGATGCTCTCAAACAATTCCGTTATTTTACACCATCAGCAGGTCGCAGCCAGTGTGCCATGAATTTGAGAGGGCAACGGTCACACTGGCGTTGGGGGAAGTGGGCACCACGGTGATTGTTTAACTTATAATTACTTACTGCTGATCCAGTCAGGATGAAACTGGTGAGTAGCATTCAGAGATTTTGGCAAATGGAAGTTTTACGTAATGTTGACTTTATCTGAGGGTTGAGGCTAAATTTAGGGGTTTTTACATGCATTTGAAAGAGATGGAAATGCACTTGTCCCCAAATCATGTTTTCTCATTGTCTTTCACAAAACTAATTTCAAACATGGCAACTTTTTTTGGAGAGGGGGGGACACTGCCCCACTCCCCTTAGCCCTGTTGGTTGCCCCTTTCGTCCCTCTGTCATTTTCAAGCATTGGTGTATCTGTTTCTATGGTTATCACAGGCTCTGCCACTGTGCACTGCCATATGTGAACATCCCGCTACAACCCAGCCCCAGTGAACACACAGGCCATTTGGGTTGGTACATACCAAATTCACAAATCCTGTGGTTAACCACTACCAGAAGATTAAGAGCTTAAAGGGGGGCTCAACTTGGGGCTTGTACAGATCTGGACTGAAAAGCTTAATGCACATCATTTCTCTCTGAAATGCATTTATTGAGTGAAACAGAAGTATAAAATAATAAAAGTCACAAAATGTTATTTTATTTGTGTTTTTGAACCACGATCATTGACTCCGGGGAAGCCGAGAACTATCTTTTTTGCAGCAGCATAGGCTTATTTAGGAAACTGATTGGAAAATTATCGGTTGTGCATGAAGGCACCGTAGGGCCTACATGCAATCCTGGCATTACTGATAAATATGGAAACTCTGTGCGCAAATATACGCAAATATGCAAATTGACCCTAGCTTTTGTTACCAAGCTCGCTGAAATCTTCAATTAGTATCTCGCGCTACATAGTTTCAATCATTTTCAAAAAACTGCCTGCCTGACATTTTGTTTCCCACTGCACTTCGGACAAGAATATGTATGCTCCACTAGTACTTGTGAAATGGTTCCCGCACACATTTAGGAAATTACCATTTTAGCAAAGGAGACCAGCGTAACCGCACCGCATGTTGTGTGTGAGTTTTGAACGTTGACTCAAGGACATGAAGGAAAAGTTGATTTCATTTCGTGGTTCTACTTCCAGTAAGGACTTTCCAAAATGTGAAACAGGGAAGAAAAGGAACATTAATTCAACAAAATGCAGGAATATCTGTGGAATAGTTTCCTTGATGTCAGTGTCACAAATTTAACCAATTATTCAGGGACAAATTCTTAAGAGTTCAGTTAATAAAAACCTCCCATAGATTTCATTTTATTTCTGATGTATCTTCAACACACACTTGTCAGTATCACATATGACTTGTAATTCATCAAAGGACATTTTTCATTAAAAATATGCAGGCCTATGTTATCAGTCAAAATAATCCAATATCTTAGAAACATCCACGCACACATACTGTACTATCCAACAGCACCGAAGGTAGTTCCTGGCCTGTGGCACTGATTGTTTGGTTAAGAGATTAAGGGTCATTAAATCTGTGAAGTACTTGCAGTTGTGGCTCAGTTTTTTTAGAGGGCTGCTTTTGCAAACATACTATTATCAATCTCATTACTAGCCATAGGCCCTATGCCAGAAGAAGAACGGAAAGAAATATAGACCTACTTGAGCTCCACAAAACGATTTTTAGCAGCTCAAAATCCTTAAGTTCTCAGCTTCTTGGTGGTTGTTTCTGATGAAAATCAAGTTTTGTCTGCTCTACAATCTCAGGACTTTGGTGCTAAGAACATCAGTTTGTCGGACGTCCGTGCAGCGCCCTCCTGGGCCATAAGACAGCCACTAGCTCCCATCCAGGCCATCTCGCCTGATACTAACACGGCTCATCATCACCTACCTCTCCGGCCCAACTCGCACGGGCACAAGCCCCTGTCACACTGGCCTTGGATACAGCGCCATTCATAGTGCTCTTGAACCTCTTGCAACAGCACCGGGGATGCAGGGATACACAGAAGCCTTTCTTAAAATATACAGAAGAAAATGAAGTGTACTTCGATTCAACACCTAAGAAAGTTCCTAGCCATTCCTATTGGTGAAGAACCCGTTAATTAAATGGTAAGACCGGCTCTGGAGAATGGACGCGACTGATGTCCGAGCCGCAGGCAAGGGCATAATCAGTGTTCGATCTCCTAAGCCGGCCGACCAAGCACAAATTTATTCCCATAAAGAAGGCAATATTGGCCTATGATAGATTTCCAAGGATTTTGTTCTGGAATTTTACTTTCATTTCCCCGAACACCCCCGTCCATTTTATGGTATATTCGTTGAGCGCGCAGGTGGCAAGCACGTGCACACAGACTCTTGACCAATCAGAATCGATTAAACTTTCCCGTATTCAGGCCAGCTCGTTTGTCACGTAGCGGGCATCATCATCGCTTCTCAGTACAGTGGGCATTAATGTTAATACCATTCCACCAACGTGAGCGTGATCTTCAAGCAAACTTCATGCGCAGTAAATGTGGTATAGGCAACCTTGACTTGATGTGCTTGGTGGGTGTTCCCTCACTAGAAATATCTTCAGTAAGACAATTTTGCTGTAATTTGTAACATTTTGAACACATTTATAATACATTGAATTATAAATATGTTAGAAAGACCGCAAAGAGACAGAAAATATTTTAAATCAGATTGACACAGATAGCTTTAATTTCTTTTCATCGTGTTCTCGTGGATTTTACTGAGGAAAGATCAAGATATGATGTCAGTGGCACGGTGATTTATCAATCTGCTTGGTGGCGTCAATGTAACACAATTTATAGCATATAAAGGAACTGAAAAATATTTAATATAACATCAATGAAACATGTCAACATCAAGCTTAACAATCATAATAATAACATTAAAATATCAAACCCACTGAGAAGTAGCTGGAAATTTTAACAGTTTACCAAAACACCCAAAATGTTTATCTGTTTTCAAATAGTGACATGGACTTGAACATTATATAAAGTGTTCATGTCAAAATCACTGAGTGGTAGCTGAAATTTGATTAATTAAAAAGTACACTGAAAATGTTTTTTTACCCGGTTTAAAAAGTGACTGTTGAACATTATATATGAAGTGTTTAACAATACCGTCTCAACTTTAACAAACATCTTTATGACATGAAACCTTATCGATACTTACCGAAGCACGTTTCAAAAAAAGCAATACATCTTTTAAAAATGCTGAAATGTTTCGAATGTAGTAGACTTGTTGGCAAATTTAAATCTATCTATTTATTTACGATGATATTTTGATGACAATTTATTAATATTATTTGGCTCATTCAGGTCAAATATGTGTGCGTTTGTTTTTTCACATTATAATTACTGTATTGAGGTTTTGTTCTGGTACTTTAATCAGCAGCGTCTTTTTTTTTTTTTTTTTTTTTTGCATTCTGCATGTTTCTTGAATGGCTCCGAAGCCGGAACAGACAGGGACAATCTGCAGGACGGGTCTATACTTCGGTGTTACTATAATTCCATTTATGTTTCATGTTATTAGCAAATTTAAAACCAAAAGCCGGTTCGCCAAATACGCAATCGGTCCTTCTAAGATGGGAGGAGACGCCGTGCGTGAAGTTTTTCATAGAAGGGAAGGGCGACTTCAACCATCTCTTTTACGACCTGAGGCACCTCCTCTTGACTAATGGTTGTCTGGCAACTGCTGCGAATGAAGGAGTGGCTATTCACCATTGTGGCAATAAAGGGGGAGTAATCTCCTGCTTCTGTTATAGCCTTCCGCAGGATCCAATTTTTGGGTATGCCTGGCTCCCAGGTCAGGATAGATTCAGAGAATGGCAGCCCCAAAGCGCGGCAGTACTTCTCCACCATGACTTTGGGCTGTCTCTGGATGTCGTCAGCGTCCACGATCACCAGTGGTTGCCTGAGGTCTCTTTCGACGTAATCTGCAAGCTCTGCAAGCTCCCCGTAGCCGAACCCCTTCTGTGGTAACCAGCCCTGGAAGTCAACTTCGCTCTCTCCAAATGTCTTTTTCAACAAGCGGTAAAATGACATGAAGCTCTTCAGTGGATGGCGGATGAGGAAAGAATGGCGGTAACCGTTGGGGAGAAACTGCAGCCTTTCCGTGACGGCATAAGCTAGGTCTTTAACAAAAACCAAGCTGTGGCCTTCAAAGTCGCCCTCCAGCTTCTGTTTAACCCAGGCATGCTTGTAGTCCGGCTCTTTTGGGACCACGCCTGGGGGCAACAGACGTCCCTGGGGACCATAATGCTCTGCCGTGCTAAACGGTTCCAGCCAGGCCAAAGCGCCCTCTGTCATCGACAGACATTTCATGAAGACGGTTGAGAGACAACGAGAAGTTGACCAGCAGAAAATGCGATGCTGCTGCGGTGTCAGATCTGCCATGTTAAACGGTTAAAGGTGGCGATTCAGTCAAAGATGATCAAAGATCTGTGAGTGGAAAAAAGATGCTCTAATTAGTCTATTTGCAATAGAAAACAATGCTTTTCCTCATCTCTACTGGTTAAAGAAAAAAAATTGTCATAAAATTGCTATCCGATTTGTAAGTGTGACGTCACTTTTAAATTACACCCCCTGCACAAAGAGCAACATGGAACCGGAAGTTAACGCTAAACTTTAGTGTTCGTCCATGGTCCAAATAGCCTGTTTTTTATACTACGCATGCGCACGCAAAGGACAGTGGGTAAAATTGTGGTAATAAAAAACCAGCTGATTTATGTTCATCACACGTAAAGTTGCCGGCGAGTCTGGTTTGAATAAATATGTAATGCCATAAAAATCGGCCTCTTTTCAACTTTAAAACCATGAACCTCCCCTCCATTGAAATACTCAACGATAAATTGTGGAGTGACATCCAAGGTTTATCTGTAAGTACACTGATGGAGAAGGGATTTTTTACCGTTCCGCTCCAACGCACTATTTTGTAACCCCCCCCCCAGGCTCCCTCGAGCCCATTTTGCCTGTCGGCTGTCTCGCGCCCTTTAGCGTTA